TATCGCAAATCCCATACCTTTCCATGGAAACCATTCCCCTTAAGAAAAAAGAACCCCATTCCTTAATACTTCATGAAACATTTTCTTTTACCCCAAAGAAATATTCCGTCCAAACCACCTTTAAAAATCCCGAACCAAATTCAACTCTGCTTTACGTCAAAGAACCTTTGCAAGTAAAGGTCCAAAAGGTTCGGAAATAACATTAGACCGGGTAAATCGAAACGATCACACTATACAGTTACTTTTTCTTGGGCATGTTCCGTGTCCCGAGGGAGGTTTTCACGTTTTGTTCATATATATATCAATATATGTATATATGTATTTTTTTGTTCTAAAAAATTTTACGACCGTTAAATCTTGCAACAAAACTCTAGTGGTCCTACACAAACGCATTAAAGACGTAAGGGTGTTTTCCCCCCGTTTTAATTTTCTGTAATGCAAACATAACCGTTTTTCAAAGTTTGCGATCCTTTTTAAACTTTTTTTTTAATTGAAGAACAGTTTCTTATTACAATAAATCTTAAAACACCCCCTGGAGAATAACCTGTCAATAAAAAACTAAAATTCCATCTCTGTAAAAAAGGTCAATTTGTTACATAACCACTTTGGGACAATTTTATAGAATGATCCCAAGATACTACGCCCAGTTACCTCATTTGGTCTTTATCATAATCGTGGACCGATAATTACTACCGATAAGAAGGGAAGAGAGGGGACAGAAGAAGAAGCACCCCAGACAAAGACAAAAAAAAAACAAAAAAAGGGACGCCCGCAACCCTCTCCTTTCCTATCCGGGGGTAGTATACGTCCAGATAAAATGATAAACCCAACTAAAGTAACCCCCCTGGCTAGGTACTGGGGAATCAATTCTATAATCTGTCCCAAGGTGTATGAACAATTGACCCTACAAGGAATGAATCTTAAAGTCTTTTAATGACAGGTTATTCTCCAGTTGAAGCATTTTTATTTTTGAGATAAAAACCTGTTTTCATAAAAGGGTAAAAAAGATCCAACTGAAAACCCGTATGGTATTTGTGCATACAGAAAATTGTAAAGGGAAAACCTCTCTTAATTGCGGTGTTTGTAGACACCTAGAGTTTTTGTAAACCCGATAACCTGGTTCGAAAACTAAGACAAATATACCCCGTCATATAAATATATGATATTGGATATACCCATATAATAACAACCGTGGAAAACTCCTCGGACTGGGATGCAAAAAGTAACTGTATATTGTGAACCGTCGATACCCCCGTCCTAAAATGGGTTTTTATTTTCGGAACTTGAACTTTTACTAAGTCTTGACGTTAACCAAGAGGTGAATTTGTCGGGATTTTCCTAGTGTTTGACGGATATTTCTTTTGGGTTAAGGAATGTTTCATGAAGGTATAAGATGGTTCTTTGGCTTAAGGAATGTTTTCATGAAGTATAAGAATGGTCAACATTCACAACGTGTGAAGTTTTCACATAGATTTTCATGGCAGAAATATTCCTTGCCAGTTTTCGTTTGTTCGTAATCACAATTGTTTTCGAGTTTACCGACTGAGGACTCTAGGAATTATAGGGGGATTGTCCCACCTGTGAATCTATACATGTAGTAGGTCCCTAGTTGTGGTCATTTATGTTGAAGAGAAACAGGGCTAGAAGTTCGAGTTCCCGCCGGAGTACTTCAGAGGCATTACAGGGGGATTGTACCGTAAATACAGATAAATGTAGTAGGTTCTTTGTATGACATTTTATGTGGAGAAGAAATAGGCGAGGTTCACCGGAACGTTTCCCGCCGGAGTACTGAGGCATTACAGGGGATTGTACCGTGAATCTGATAAATAGTAGTAGTCACCTCTGTATGATTCATCTTCGGATATGATAAACCAACTGAATCATTCTATAAATTGTCCTAAGTGTAATTTGCCCGACTAGTTTCAGAATTTGTACAACCGATAACGGTATAGAGATAATTAGCCGCTGATATTAGACCAATAGTAACTGGGCTAGTACTGTAGACGGATAAATTCTAACTGTAGTGAACGCTGGCTAGGCATGGGATCATTCTATAATTGTCCCAAGGTGTACCTTCCCCGACTAGTTCAGATTACAACTATAGTGCAGAATAGTAGGGGACAACGCGGTATAGGGAACTCGTCCGATATCGACAAATCGTAACTGGTTAGTACTAGACTCATTATAGTAACTGGCTAGCTACTGGCACACTCATTTATTTTTCCCAGTCTAGTTTCGATAGTCGGCGATAGCCGTTGTAAACTGTTTGTCAGTACTCTTCTATTACCCCCAGTTTCCAAGTCTATTATTCTCCAGGTGTTCCCAGCCTAGCGTTCACCGTCTACTGTGAAGTTTACCTAACACCGCAAACGTCCCACTGAAGGCAACCCTCACCCGTGAAGGCACATCAGCTATTTAGGTAAGGAATAGTCCCAGTATTTAGTTTCATAGCCTGTGTTTGGATGTACGAATATTGATGACGTAATTTAGCAAAAAAAGCTAAGTCCATTTTTTCAATTTCGATTCTTCTTAGTTTTCTACAAAAAGAGATGAAATGTTTCTGGTAACAGTGACTAAAAGAGTACTATACGGTCAGCACAATCTGAACGTCTAATAAATTAACGAACTCTCTCTAAAATAAAGTAGACAGGGTTTCCGTTATAGCTAGACTATGTACATCATCCAGGGATCAACACCAGTAAATACAACTCTCTTTGGCCGATCTTCAAGCTTCAAAGGGCAGCCTCATGAGCTCCGTAAAGTCCCCCTAAAATGACACTTAGACTATTTCCATCATCCAGGGAAACATACCAGTAAATACACCTCTCTTTATCCGCTCCAAGAGCCTTGAAGGGCGGACTCATGAGCTCCGTAATGTCCCCCTAACATGGCACTTAGACTATTTCCATCTTCCAGGGAAACACAACTTCAAAGGGGCTTCCTATACTATTTGGTTGACTTAGTAAGATATTTAACAGGATTCACATTAAACGGGCTGATCAAAGTCTTAGCATGTTGGCTGCCATATCCCTCCTAATCGGCGGCTATAATCTGGTTATCATTGACCCGATCATGACATCTGCATATTTAAG